TGAATGGGGAGCAGGTGTGTTAAATTTGGTGTTATCACTCTCACTCTCTCATACTTGTCACTGGAAGTTCAACATGGCACCTCATGGCAAAGAACTCTGGGGATCTGAAAAAAAGAACTGTTGCTCTACATGAAGATGGCCTAGGCTATGAGAAGATTGCCAAGACCCTGAAACTGAGCTGCAGCATGGTGGCCAAAACCATATAGCGGTTTAACAGGACAGACAGGCCTCGCCATGGTCAACCAAAGAAGTTGAGTGCACGTGCTCAGCGTCATATCCAGAGGCTGGCTTTGGGAAATAGACATATGAGTGCTGCCAGCATTGCTGCAGAGGCTGAAGGGGTGGTGGGTCAGCCTGTCAGTGCTCAGACCATATGCCGCACACTACATCAAATTGGTCTGCAGGGCTGTCATCCCAGAAGGAAGCCTCTTCTAAAGATGATGCACAAGAAAGCCTGCAAACAGTTTGCTGAAGACAAGCAGACTAAGGACATGGATTAGTGGAACCATGTCCTGTGGTCTGATGAGACCAAGATAAACTTATTTGGTTCAGATGGTGTCAAGAGTGTGTGGCGACAACCAGGTGAGGAGTACAAAGACAAGTGTGTCTTGCCTACAACCAAGCATGGTGGTGGGAGTGTCTTGGTCTGGGGCTGCATGAGTGCTGCAGGCACTGGGGAGCTACAGTTCATTGAGGGAACCATGAATGCCAACATGTACTGTGACATACAGAAGCAGAGCATGTTCCCCTCCCTTCGGAGACTGGGCCGCAGGGCAGTATTCCAACATGATAATGACCCAAAGCACACCTCCAAGACAACCACTGCCTTGGTTGATGGACTGGCCAAGCATGTCTCCAGACCTAAACCTTATTGAGCATCTGTGGGGCATCCTGAAACAGAAGGTGGAGGAGCGCAAGGTCTCTAACATCCACCAGCTCCATGATGTTATCATGGAGGAGTGGAAGAGGATTCCAGTGGCAACCTGTGAAGCTCTGGTGAACTCCATGCCCAAGAGGGTTAAGGCAGCGCTGGAAAATGGTGGCCACACAAAATGTTGACACTTTGGCACCAATTTGGACAGTTTCACTTAGGGGTGTACTCACTTTTGTTGCCAGTGGTTTAGACATTAATGGCTGTGTGTTATTTTGAGGGGACAGCAAATTTATACTGTTATACAAGCTGTATACTCACTACTTTATATTGTAGCAAAGTGTCATTTCTTCAGGGTTGTCACATGAAAAGATATAATAAAATATTTACAAAATGTGAGGGGTGTATTCAGTTCTGTGATATACTGTATGTGAGGGGATGTTATGTGGAGGAGGGCCATGACCTGTTCTTCCCTGTAGGGGAGGGCCGGATGCATGCCAATGGGGCAAAGCTCAAGAAATCAAGTTTCAAGCTGAATGTCAGCAAGTACTTCCTGATGGTTAGGACCCCTAGGATATGGAATGGACTCCCAAGGGAGTGGATAATGCTCCATCAGTGAAGGTGTTCAAGGAAACAACCACATGTTGGAGATTGCATGAGTGGGGACAGCTGGAGCCAGGGGTCACACTAGATGGCCTGTGTGGCTCCTTCTGACTGGCTTTATTTCTATGTTTCTATGTAAGATAAAGCATATGGAGGGTCACAAATTGTCAACACCTGAATAATATTAATGGAAAAGGTAAGAAATAATGGCGGGCATCTTACACTAACAATATTTTTACAAATTCCCCAGAGCTTTGAAATTTCCAGAAATTTTGCATTTCTTATCTTGTAAATCTTCCTATTAAGCAGCCTTTAGATATTATATCATTTGGGCTAAATAAAGACCAGGTAGCAATATATGAACATTGTGGATAAAGAGACACCGAATAAGGGAAAGTGAGGCTAATCATTTATTCATCATTCTAGAAAAAATACTGCATGTTTCCCACTTTAGGGAGGAAAGAAACAACAGAAAAGTTGCCTGGGGGAAAAAAACAAAGAAAACTTGGTCTGCACCTGGTTATTTCCATTTCTCACCCCCAGTCTTCACAGCTCTTCCCCAAAAGCATTTTACAAAATATTCAAAATAAAAAACACAAAGTTAGAGACAGAATAAAAATATTGAAATGACTAGAACTTTTAAAAACACTACACCTTCTAAAAGCAGGATGCTGTGCCATCGAGAAGAAATAAGATGAGAAATGAAGGTAAAGAGAGACAACAGAAGGGTTATTTTTTTGGGTGGGAATGTGTTGAGGGGAGGGGAAAATGGCAGGGTGTGCGAAGGGTTTAAGGTTGTGATAAAGGCTAGAGTAGAAAGGTTTTGTACGGGATTTAGGATAAGAAGATAAAAATAAGTGTAAAGTACAAAGTGTAGAAGATGTTTGTGAGGGAAACTGAAGCAATGAGAGAACCCAAGGCACAGCGAATGGCGGTTGAAAGCAGACTGGCAAGAGGATGGGACTTTGCCCATTTATACAAGGGAAGGGGGAGCAGAGTTCCCACCAAAAATGTTACTAGCTGAGAGAATCTTTTCAAAAGCAGGCACTGTGCAGGCACAGCACCCATATGTGTGATGCACAGAGACCACAACAACGAACTTTGATATTATTTTTAAAAATGTTAAAGTCAGGTGAATTTTTTCCCTTTCTGTCCATCCAGAAGCCATCAATAATTGGGCGAGACAAACACCTTTCAGGTAGAGACTGCATAATCAAAGCAAAGCCACAGAAAAAGTGCCTCCTGTTCCCACTGAGGTTCTGCATCCCACTAAGAGTGCTGAACCTTTGGCCTTCCAGTTTTTTCCCCATTTGTTCTTAAGTCTTCATTAGTAGAAATAAGAACTGACCCCATTCTGCATGGGGTCAACCAGTCCTCAGTTTGACACAATGATGCATCAAGCAAACGAGTGTTCATCAGAGTCCACATCCTGCCCTGGCTCGCTCACTGGAATGAGAAGGCTACTCTAGAGACGAGCCACTGACTTTTCAGGGTAGGGCCTCTCATACATGAGAGAATAGGAAAGTGGATGCCTCATCAGGATTCCAGAGCAAGAACTATTTACTTGCTTTTCACACCACTATCAGATATTTATTATATTTGCTAACAATACAATTTTTGCATGCCTTGCCTTCTGAACTGCAGCAATACTCTTTTGGAATTGTCTGTTTTTCTTAAAACTGCACATTTTGTGTATGGTTGCACATTTGAAAAAGCCATCATAACATCAGAGAGCAGGCCCATCACCATTTCTGGTAGATTTGACAACTGAGTAACAATTTGTCTATCAGGCCTACTCTGCTGGGTTCTTCAGTGAGTAGACCTGGTGCCTAAATAATGATTGGGTCCCACAACCCCACAGTTCCTCATGAGTGACAAACAGTGGGTTGTTGTGTCATGTAAACCTGGACAAGCCATTCAGATAATGCAGCTTTAGGGAATTTTGTGCCCATGATGGGTCACCAACTCCACATCTAGGCATCCAACTCCAATGTGGTACCAGAAAGCAGCTAGCAAGCCATTTGCCAAGAGTGTCAAACACCCTGTCACTCCTGCTGAGCTAGCCTGAGTCACTGCAGGTGCCAAGCAGTTTTCTCCATGGTTTCATTCTTCCCAAAATTTATATATCTCTCAGTCTTTCAATACGGGTTATTATGATTTTTTCAGAAATCATTTGGGCAAGAGAATAAAGGTTGGGTAACAGCTTGACTTACATATTCTACTGATTCCAAAATAAAATGTTTCATAATCCAGAAATTAATGTTTTCTAGAAATGAAAGTCCCCCCTCCCAAATTTACTCTTTTTTTGCCAGGCTTTCACATCCCTAGCTCTGTCACCTGCAATATAACGATGAATTTTCCATATACCTTCTCAGGGTAATCTCTTTAAATGTTTACAAACCTACTGCCTTTTATTTTATTTTATTTCTAACATAATAGTGTCCAATCTCAGCTGCATTTAACTGCTGGATTTTTAAATTGCTTTTTATGGGACTGCAACAGAGAAGTCTGGCCACACCAAAAATGGTATTTGAAAGGAATCAAGTTTCAGATTTTTAATGTATTAACCATTATTATGACTTCATTCATTTGCTAAAAATACCAAAAGGTGGGAGCAGATTAATTTCTCACAAAATCCATGGTCAGAATAGCAGCTGCACAGCTTCCTTCATAGCTCAGGTTCTATACAACTTACAGACATTACTGTTTTTAAAAATGGAAGCTGAGAATTTAGAGATTGTGGCCCATTTGGTGGGGGTGTCAATTACCCTGCCCCTTCTGTCCAAGTAGGGGATAGCCATATAACTCTGTCCATTGGACCACCCCACCCACCTCACCTTTACATTGTATCAATTACAGAGCTATGCACCAGTTCAGGGAAATCTGCTGCCTACTGACTGAAGATGATGCTGCAGTCCTCTGCTACAAACCCCAAAGATATCACTGGTTTTAAGCCACCATTAGTACTGCAGAAGCAGCAGTGTGTTGGGGTGGGGGGATTGGATGAAGAAAGCATGGGGGCCACACAGCGTGCGGCTGAGGGCTACGTTAGGCATTTTGGCTGTAAACCCATTTCCAAGGTACTCTGGCCAGTAGAGGCCAGAATATTTCTATTTAGTAAAGAAAATAAAATGAATTAACCCCTTCCCCGAAACTGCTTGAAGTCCAGAATCATATCCCAAAGTACTAACTGCAATCACTCTCAAAAATGCACACACACACATGCACGGGCTAGGAAATTTGCAATGGAAATTTCACTTCAGTCCTATTTATATGTTTCTTCTGTGCATGTTTATGAGACCACCAAGCAATATTATCAATGAAAATGTAACAACCTGTAGTGCATCTTTTACCTGCTTCATTCACTGAATATCTGAGGTGACATAGGGGCTCAGAGTTCAAATTTACCTTGCTTTCCTCTACATAAAACATTTAAACTAGTTATCATTTCTTTCAATTGCCTTCCCAAGTCCCTTGGCAATAAGAGAACAAAAACACCATTATAAAAAGGAAGTCCTATTCCCACCTTCCTCGCTTTGGTTTTGTAATTGCTCCTCTTGCCGGCAACAAAGGGACTGGAAGTTGTCTTCCTCATGCTGAATGATCCGATGAAGAATAATCCAAGGAAGCACTGAAGAAACAAATGGTTCTTTAGGTTCCTCCTGGACTGCCATGCTGCAATCTATTATCTATTAGTTAAAAAACAGAAAAATTGTAAATTAAACCCATGAAAATAATTAACATTCAGCAAAAGAGGTCAGTTAGTAATGCGGCTATTGTCATAGCAATGCAAATGTAGAGTTCAACACACATTCAAGATGCCTTATTGAGTATTCATCCGATAATCCCAACAAATCACTACATTGATTTTAAGCTTGCAAAGCAGCCTGTAACTTTTTGTGTATGTGTATCACCTATTATTTCCCATACATGGTTCACTGCCTTGTCATGGCGAAGGGACTTGTGTAGCGCAATGAAGCTATGAGTTATGCTGTGCAGCGGCACCCAAGACGGTCAGGTCATAGCAGAGAGCTCTGACAAAAGTTGATCCACTGGAGAAGGAAATGGAAACACACAGTACCAAAAGGCAAAACGATATGACGCAGAAGATGAGCCCCTCAGGACAGAAGGTGTCCAATGTGCTTCTGGGGAAGAGAAGAGGGCTAATACTAGTAGTGCCAGAAAGAATGAAGCGACTGGGTCAAAGCCAAAAGGACACTCAGTTGTGGTATTCATCCAATAATCCAATGGTGGTGAAAGGAAAGTCCAATGCTGTAAAGAACAATACTGCATAGGAATCTGGAATGTAAGATCTATGAATCAAGGTAAGCTGGACATGGTCAAACATGAGATGACAAGACTGACCACTGACATTGAGAATCAGCAAAATCCCCAGAAGAAATGGAGTAGCCATCACAGTCAATAAAACAGTAGGAAACGCAGTACTGGTACAATCTCCAAAATGACCGAATGATCTCATTCGAATCCAAGGCAAATCATTCAACATCACAGTAGTCCAAGTCTATGCCCCAGCCACTGGTGCTGAAGAGGCTGAGGTCAACAGGTTCTATGAAGGCCAGCAACACCTTCTAGAATACCAAAAAAATTATGTCCTTATCATCATGGGGGATCGCACTGCTAAAGTAAAAAGCCAAAAGATAACCGGAATAGCAGGCAAGTTTGGCCTTGGGAGTACAAAATGAAGCAGGACAAAGGCTGGAAAAATTTTGTCAAGAGAACACGCTGGTCATAGCAAACACTCTTTTCCAACAACCCAAGAGATGACTCTACACATGGACCTCACTAGACGGTCAACACAGAAAGCAGATTGACTATGTGCTCTGCGGCCAAAGATGGAGAAGCTCTGTCCAGTTATTAAAAACAAGACCAGCAGCTGACTGTGGCTCAGATCACAAGATTCTTGTTGCAAAATTCAGGCTTAGATTGAAGAAAGTAGGGAAAAGCACTAGGCCACTCAGGTATGACCTAAATCATATTCCTGATGAATATACAGTGGAGGGGACAAATAAATTTAAGGGATTAGATTTGATAGACAGAGTGCCTGAAGAACTATGGACAGAGGTTTGCAACATTGTGCAAGAGGTAGCAACTAAAACCATCCCAAAGAAAAAGAAATGCAAGAAAGAAAAATGGCTGTATGAGGAAGCTTTACAAATAGCTGAGGAAAGAAGGGAAACCAAATGCAAGGGAGAAAAGGAAAGATACACCCAACTGAATCCAGAATACCAGAGAACAGTTAGAACAGAGATGAAGGCCTTCTTAAATGAACAGTATAAAGAAAAAGAAGAAAACAATAGAATGGGAAAGACTACAGATCTCTTCAAGAAAATATGAGATATGAAAGGAACATTTCATGCAAAGATGGGTGTGATAAAGGACAAAAATGGCAGGGACCTAACAGAGGCAAAAGAGATTAAGAAGAGGTGGCAAGAAAACATGGAAAGAACTGTACAAGAAAGATCTTAATGTCCCTGATAACCACGATGGTGTGGTCGCTGACCTCGAGCCAGACATCTTGGAATGTGAAGTTAAATGGGCCTTAGGAAGTCTTAGTAACAACAAAGCTAGTGGAGGCGCATGTATTCTAGCTGAGCTATTCAAAATCCTAAAAGACAATGCAGTTAAAGTGCTACACTCAATATGCCAGCAAATTTGGAAAACTCAACAGTGGCCACAGGATTAGAAAAGGTCAGTTTACATTCCAATCCCAAAGAAGGGCAATGCCAAAGAATGTTCAAACTACCACACCATTGCACTCATTTCACATGCTAGCAAAGTTATGCTCAGAATACTGTAAGCCAGGCTCCGGCAGTATTTGGACAGAGAACTACCAGAAGTACAGACAGGGTTTTGAAGAGGCAGAGGAACTAGAGATCAAATTGCCAACATACGCTCGATCGTGGAGAAAGCTAGGGAGCTGCAGCAAAATGTCTACTTCTGCTTCACTGACTATGCTAAAGCCTTTGATTGTGTGGATCATAACATATTGTGGCAAGTTCTTTGAGAGATGGGAGTCCCAGACCATCTTATTTGTCTCTTGAGAAACCTGTATGCGGGTCAAGAAGCAACAGTGAGAACTGGACATGGAACCACTGATTGGTTCAAAATTGGAAAAGGAGTTTGGCAAGGCTGCATACTGTTGCCCTGCCTATTTAACTTATATGCAGATCGCAACATGAGAAAGGTGGGGCTAGATGCATCACAAATTGGAATTAAGATTGCTGGGAGAAATATCAACAACCTCAGATATGCAGATGATACAACACTAATGTTAGAAAGTGAAGAGGAACTAAAGAGCCTCTTGATGCGGGTGAAGGAAGAGAGCACAAAAGTTGGCTTGAAACTCAACATCAGGAAAACTAAGGTCATGGCGACCAGTCCTTTCACTTCTCGGCAAATAGATGGGGAAGAAATGGAAGTAGGGACATATTTTATTTTCCTAGGCTCCAAGATCACCGCAGGCAGGGACTGCAGTCAAGAAATTAAAAGATGCTTGCTCCTTGGGAGTAAAGCAATGGCAAATCTAGAAATCATACTAAAAAGCAAAGACATCACCCTGTCAACAAAAGTTGGTTTAGTCAAGGCTATAGTTTCCCCAGTTGCAATGTATGGCTGTGAAAGTTGGACCATAAGGAAGGCTGAGCACTGAAGAATTGAGGCTTTTGAATTGTGGTGCTGGAGAAGACTCCTGCGAGTCCCTTGGACTGCAAGGAGATCAAACCAGACAGTCCTAGAGGAGATCAGCCCTGACTGCTCTTTAGAAGGCCAGATACTGAAGATGAAACTCAAATACTTTGGCCACACAATGAGAAGGAAGGGCTCCCTGGAGAAGAGTCTAATGCTGGTCGGGCACGACTTCGGGAATAACATAACATCATTTAATTAATTCATCATGGGCAGAATCTGGCTACATAATGGAGCAATCAAACAATAGCTGTGTATGAAGCACATTGAACAATGTTTGCAGGGTCTGTGATGGGAGATGCCAGAACTGTGCTGCACAGTAGCTGCCCTCTTGCCTCCAAACCAGAGTATGGCTGGCCAAGAGAATAACCCCAACCTGAATTAAGCTGAGAATCCAGCATCTTCAGCCAGTCCAGTAAGGCCAGCAAAAATGTTGGGGAGGTTACTTTCACAAACAGGAGATGCAGTCTGAGACTGTTGGGTCGCAAAGAAAGTCTTTAGCACCTACCCAAGCAAGAAGAGCTAACCCCGCCTCCCAAAAAAAAGAAAGAAAACTGGAGGTAAGAGCATCCCTCTCTGGGTGGGAAGAGAGCCTCATGTCTCACCACTGCCACCAATATTAAAGGTGGCTTGCTTGTTCTTCTTGTCTTTGCCTACATTCTACTGGACACTGTAACTCCAAGCCACCTTATAGCTCAAAATATTTTCGATTGCTCCGTATTATATAGCCCTTGCCCACGCTTTTTCTTTTAACAAAAATCTAGAAACCCATATTATTTTAAAAATTTTTGTTTGTGTTATTAAAATCTGGAAATTTCTGACTTAACTGTTTAACAACCCAAGGCACTTCACTTTACATTTAAGGGAACAGAAGAAACAAAGGCACCTGTATCAAATATATACAATTACGAAAGACAACAGTGAAAAATGGATACAAAACATAAACATGTGAAAGAAAACTTGCACTCCCCTTTCTTGTGGCCATATTGGATTTGTCAAGGGATGTTCTCTGAGCTTCCAAAGTTACCTGAGCAAGCAACATGTCAATTCTTCTTTCCAGGTCAAGAACAAATGACAATATCTCTTGCTAAGGATTCTACAAAAGTCCTCGCTCCCACTATTGCAAAAACCATCAGGATGCACATAGGCTCTAACACTTCAATGTCAGAGGACAGTGTGAAGCTGCTTGGTAAGGTAAACATTTTTCCCTTATAGCAAAAGTAGCCTTATGCGCATAGCAACAGGAGAAAGCAACTTCAAGCCTTCTTTTGTACTCTTCCAATGAAGATGAGGGCCAGAAGGCCTTGGATTGGCTTCAAGAAGCTATCCTAGCATCTGGACACTGAGAAAGTTCACAGCACTACCTAGACCTTAATTACCTCCTTGTCATTTTTCTGATAGAACGCATACAATTAGGGCCAAATAAAAGCTATGTTCATTAGAAATTAAGAACACAGCAGAGAGTCATCAAGTTGGCTGCCTTGCTAAGACCTGAAAGGCCAGTTTCTACAAAGTGGTCTTTCTTGTGCCCCAAGGCCAAAGGTCTCTTGCTTGCTACACTGGCACGTCCAATATTGAATGGAATTACGCTAATATTTTTTGATCTACAGAACAGCTCTTCAAACCACTACTCAGAGAAGCACTGCTAGTAGATTGCAACATCAGCAAGAGCTGGAGACACTCTTGGATACCTGGATCAGGTTGTTAGCCAGTCGGACAAGACTCTGTATTGCAGATGATTCATTCAGGCAGCTGCAGTCAGAAGCCAAACAGCAATCAATTCCTCGGAGAAGCTGTGTAACAGTGGCCACCCACTCTTCCTTTGCAGAGGCTTCCGTCATATTAATCATCTGTTGAAAGGCTTCATTCAAAGCAACTTCTGAACACTCAAAGCACTGCACATAGTCTTTCAACTTGAGCAGAGAATCCTAAGGCATATCAGTAAGAGAAGCCCATGTTTAAGATTCTTTTAAAGATTTCACTAAAAAGCTTGCACATGGCATTTATTACACACACACACACACACACACACAGATACCATTTGATAAGCAGAAAGCTCTTGAAACAGTTCACATTATATAATTAAAATATGCAAAATTCCATCATTCTTAATTTCACACATGGAAAGCAGCAAGAGTCATGCACCAACCCAGGATGCTGTTTAAGTTCTGGCATAATGTTCAAGTAGCCCTTTCAGCTGAATGGTTCAAATGCCTCTACTATCGTACCTCTCCAGATCACAATCAAGATAAACAAAGCACTGCATATAAGCCATAGGGAGAACTGCCAAGGAACTCTGGCTATGAGGCAGTGCAGTAATATTGTAAATATTTTTTCATCTCCACTTAACAGGACTAGAAAGGTAGACAGAATCAGTTTCCTCTCCAAGTCAATGAGAATATTGTCTTACACTACAGCCTTCCTGCTCATCAGACCAAGCAAGGTACACATGCAAAATACCAATTTTCCCCTCTCCTTTCCGTTCAAATCCAAGGAAGCTGTTTTAAAAGTTCCAAATCAGTATCTTGATGTTCATCCTCATCTGGGCCAGGCACACTCTCTGCCCAACTTACTTCACAGGGTTGTTGTGGGGTTAAGACTGAGAGCAGAAGAAGGAGAATGATGGAATTCTTTTAAGAAGAAAAGGGCAGGATATTAATCTAATAAATAAATAAATGTCTGATCAGGCCAAGACAGGCATATCACTTGGTTCAGAGCGAGCCACTTTAGTGTGTTTTTTGTGCCGACACTCGGTTTTATCAGGTCTGTCCTTCTTAGGATGCTGAGGTTTTGAAGCTTCCGCGGACCTTGACATGCTTCCTCTTTTCCTTATGTTTCCTTGGAAGAGAATGAAAGGAACACTTTCCATCAGGTCTGGCTGAGTCTCCTTCGGATTGGTGAGAGGGGACACTTTTGGAAGACCCTGGAGCCGCAGAGGAGCTGGTATCAGCCAAAATCTGCTTCATGGCGACCAAGGCTTGGTCCCACAACATCTTGTGCAGCCTATTTTCTTGGTTTTTCCGAGTCTAGGGTTAGGGTGAGGGTGTGTGGGTCAGCGAGAGACATTTTAGCTCCACACTGAGTGCACTTGCGGAAAGCCACCCGTTGTGACATCGAGAGAAAGGAGGAAAGTACAGCGGTAAGGAGAGAGGTATAACTCAAGGTTAAGACAATAGAAGGGTTTTATTTATTTATTTATATTTGGAAAGGGGGTTGGGGGAAGGGGGAAGGATATAAAGCGGGGGTCCAGTAAGGGTCGCGAAGAATGGGTAAGGGGTTTTAGATCAAGAAGGGGTAAGATGAAGTTAGAAATTTTTAGAACTATTTGAAAGTAAAGTAAGTAGTTTGCAAAAAGATGAGGAGACAAACAAAAAGGCCTGAGGCATGGTGAACAGCAGTCACAAGCAGACTGGCAAAGGGGCAGGCACTCTGCCCATTTAAACTGTGGGAGTGTGGAGTTCCCGCCAAAAACTGTTAAAGCTCTTAAATCTTCTCAGCAACAGGCACTGTGCAGGCACAGCACCCCATATATGTGTGATGCATGGAGACCACAATGAAGAACTCATGTTCCTCCTCAGACACAACTCAAAAGTGCTGGTTATGACTTGTAATATTAGCTATGGTCATATTAGCTATGACCAGGCTACCAGAAAACCACCTTCTACCACATAAACCTGCCCTGCTTTAAAGATATTCGGGGAGGTCCTTTTCTTGGAACTGCCTCCTACAGAGTTGCATTTGGCAAGACAGAAAGCCTATTTGGTGGTCAATCCCAGGCTGTGGAACACTCTGCCAAAACAAACTTGGCTGACTCCTAGTTCGACTACCAGGCAAAGAAATTTTTATCTAAGCAGGCCTTTGGAGAGTAAGTACATCTACTGCACAGAGTGCTGTTTTTCAATTGCTACTGTAGTATTTTAATTGCATTTTGATGTATTTGTTTTACTGTATTATTACAACATTGCATTCATTTTCTTCTTTTATATTTTATTTTAAATTTAATTTTAACACAACCTTAATTTTTACAAAGGAAATTACAAAGAAAGCATATCATTAAATGTTTTCATATCATCAAATCTTTTCTTAAAAAGAAAACATATCATTAAAATCATATTATAACAAAACCAAACCACGGATCCTGCCGCCGGACCATTGCATACATGCTAAATCATTTGCTCTTTCAAGAAGCTCTGTCCTCATTCCAAAATTGCACAGAATCTTGTTCAAATACTTTCAATTTTATTAGAACATACTCAAAAGGGTCACCAAATATCTTCAAAATTATTCTTATCTATATAGCCTTTTCCATTTTAATATCACAAGTTGACACCATTAATAGCTATATTCTAAACTTCTCTATACCAATCACTCAATTAATAATCATACTTTAGTTCCTAATTTTCTGCTATAATTTTTTTGCAACTGTTAATAAATTTGTTATTAATTCTTTAGTGTTCCATTACCATTGTTCTCTGTCAAATATTGATAATAATATGATTCCAGGATTTACTGTAATATTCAAACTCAGTATTTTACTACTTTTTTAAGAAACTTCTTTCCAGAATTTCATTATGTATTCACATTCCCACCACATATGGAAATATGTCTCCACTCCCTGACCACATCTCCAACATAAGTATTTATTAGAATAAAGTCATAGAATCATAGAAGAGTATAGTGGGAAGGGGCTATAAAGGCCACTGAGTCCAACCCCCTGCTACTGCAGGACCCCACCTAGGTATTTATTACCCCACCTAGGTATTTCTTGACCATTTCTCTGTCAATCTTGGGCTGCCATCTCTCACTTCCAGCTTGTACTTCCTCTTGATTGCAGATTTCCTTGTGGGAGAAGACTGAGCTGAAGTAGAAATTGAGCGCCTCTCCCTTTTTCCTTGTCATCTGTCAGCACTCTGCCATCCACGTGAAGTAGCTGGACACCCTCCACTTTCTCATGTCTTTTGTTCTGGATGTATCTGAAGAAGGCTTTCCTGTTGTTCTCAGCATCCCTTGCTATTCTCAGTTCATTTCCTGCTTTGCCCTTCCTGATGCTATTCCTGCACTTCCTTGCTATTTGTTTATATTCTTCCTTCATGGCCATCCACTTCCTGTATATGTTCTCTTTTTCTTTCACGCTGTCACTTAACTTTTTATGGAGCCACATGGGCTTCCTCTGTTGTCTTCTACACTTTTTTCTTGATGGAATTGTTTGTAGTTGTGCTTGGAGAATCTTCTTTTTTCAAGATTTCCCACCCCTCTTGGATGCCTTTCCCTTTAACGGTGTGTTGCCATGGCACACCTCTTATCATTTTTCTGGTCACCTTCCCCCAGAGTTCCCATGGCTACTATTAGGTCCACCAGGCCATCTCTGTAAGTTAGTATTAAATCGAGGATAGCTGATCCTCTCGTACCTTCCTCTACTTTCTGTTGGAGAAAGCTGTCAGCAACACATGTCAGGAATCTCTTGAAGGGGCATGCTAGGCAGAATTTGTCTCCCAGCATAAATCAGGGAAACTGAAGTCCCTCATGATGACTATATTGTTCTTCTTGGAAATGCTGACAAGTTACTTTTCAAAGTTTGCATCCTTGTCCTCTTTTTGACTGGGTGGACAGTAATATATAAGCTCTCCTGATGAAGTTTTTCATGTAGTGGCCAAACATCTGCTTCCTGTTCTTTGTGAGGTGCAGCCCATCAGACTACATGGCCCAGGAGGCTCCTTCTGACTCACTCTGTTTCTATGTTCTATGTTCCTTCTGGACTACACTTACCTGTTGTAGCTCCCCCATTCTGTCTAGAAACTCTTTGTTTTCTTTTATTCTCCAGAGGATGGACACTTGCTGCTCTAGTGCATAATAGGTCACGTCGCCCATAATAGGTCACGTCGCCCAGCATGTCTGGGCTTTCATCAGCAGGGTGTGAACTGATGGCAGGCCTGCTCTTGAGAGGACCTTAGTGTCTGGCACCTCGTCCTGCCACCGGATCCTCAAAAGTCTGCGGAGGCAAGTCGTGTGGAAGTGGTTCAGTTGCCCAGCGTGCCTCCTGTATACTGTCCAAGTCTCACTGGCATACATCAGGGTAGTTAGCACTACTGCTCAGTAGACTTTAAGCTCTGTAGCAAGGCTTATTCCACGGCGGTCCCACACTTTGGTCAGCAGTCTGCCGAATGCAGAGCTTGCCTTGGCGATTCTGCAGTTGACCTCGATGTCAATTGTCACTGCGCGGGAAAGGGTGCTGCCAAGGTATGTAAATTGGTCCACTGCTTGCAGCTTGTGTCCCTTCACTGTGATGGTGGGCTCTTGGTATTGGGCTTTCGGAACTGGCTGATGCGTCACTTTGATTTTCTCTGTGTTGATGAGGAGGCTGAAGTTGTCGCATGCTACTGCAAATTTGTTCATGCTGGCTTATACTTCCTGCTCTGATCCAGCATTCAGGGCACAGTCGTCAGCAAAAAGGAGGTCTCGTAGCACAGTCTCTTTTATCTTGGTGACAGCCTGGAGTCTTCGCAGGTTGAACAGTTGCCCATCGGTCCTGTATTTCAGGCTGACTCCCAAGGAGTTGTTCTGAAAGGCATCTGTCAGCATGGCTGAAAACATTATGCTGAACAGGGTCGGTGCCAACACACCCTTGCTTGACCCCATTTGTGACGGGAAAGGCCTCTGAAGCTTCTCCGTCATCCAAAACATGAGCTGTCATGCCGTCATGGAACTGACGTACCATCAGGATGAATCTGTCAGGGAACCCAAACTTCGACATGATGTGCCACAGACCTTCACGACTCACAGTGTCAAAAGCCTTGGTGAGGTCCACAAAGATGGTGTACAGTTCACGATTCTGCTCTTGACACTTCTCTTGGAGCTGTCAGGCTCCAAGTGGACTTCATGGGATTGTTGGGTTCAAGTGAGCACTAGAATCCAGATCTCCTGAGTTCCACCCTAGCACTCTTAGATACTACGCTATACTGGCTCTCTAATCAAGTTTTAATCCATTTTCCCCTCTAACTTTGTATGTTTATAAGCCATATTGAGTGCGGTTTTCTTGGTAGAAAAGCAGGGCCCAAATCAAAGTCACAAAATGCATATTAGTGAATGTATCAATTACTTTGCTAGCTTTGCTTACTGAATCAGAGCCAAACAAGTTCCCAGTTTCTGGTTCAACAGTCTAAGCTAGCAGAGCAGCCTTTCCCAAGCTAGCACCCTCCAATCCATTATTGTGGATAATGAATTTCACATAATTTCCAGCCATCAGCATGCTGGCTGCTGCTGAAAGATGAAGTCCAAAACGTCTGGAAGAAAACCATTTGCATTCATTTAATGACCAGTAGCTTTTCATCAGAAAAACAAACCTGCAGCAGGAGAAGCTGAGCTGGCCTTTCTGGTATTGAGATGACAAACTCCAGATGTTTAGTCCGGCTATATCCACTGAAGCACAATGTCGGGCGAAGCAGGTGCACCACAGCCCTGTAATCCCCAGCTTCATATAAGCGCTGGATCTCCTCCAAAGACTGGCACCTCTCCAGAGATTTGAGGTTCTTGTCAATCTGTAAGAGTGACATACTGCATTGCATGTTACACTTCCCTTTGATATTTCTTATAAACAGCAAAAACTATCTGCAAAGACCATGTGATGAAAAGGTGGTAAACTACCAAAGTAGTAGGCAGGAGTCCAACTAAAGACCATCTGCTTAATTTTGTTTTTCAAAACAATGTTGCAGTCTCTTAAAACCAAAACTATGCATCACAGTATTTTAATCAAATAGTTACTGGGTTTCAAATAAAACACTTTCATATCCCATGCCCCATCCAAGCTAGTACTGCCTCATCTGACCATGAGCAGCTTGCCAGGATATCAGGGGGTATCCCTGCCCACTGGTCCTTTAACTGGAAGTGCTGGGATTTGAATTAGGGACCTTACAAAGGCAATGCATGTGCCCCATATTTCCCTCAGTTACAGCTGTTTCCAGGTTCACGGCTTGTTATCTCCAAAGAGCTAAAAACTGTGCTCAGTTCTCCTTCACCAGTAAGGCACATGCAGTTAAGCTATTACAGTGGCAGAAAGAGTACCAGAAGATGTCATTACCTCTTCCAAAGAAACCACAGAATCAACATGCAGATTAGGCAGTCTTAGCTCAACACTCTCTTTGACACCACTTTTGGTTTGCCCTGCAGCAGAGCTCTGGAGCATTTCTGTACAGACATCATAGTTCTCCAAGGCCTGCTCCATGTCACCCTGGGGAAGCAACCACAGAGTCTTCATGCACTGCCAACCACTGTTTTAAGTGACTTATTTAACCAGTTCCTCCAATAAGTGTCACAGGCTACACTGTGCTTTGTTGAAGGGTAATTTCCTCATCCTTTCTTTGTGGCCAGACTTCTTTTGTGCTTATGAAAGAGCTGTGTGTCACAACAGCAAGAATTCAGTATCAAAGTAAAAACTCTGCTATGAATGCCTTTGATTATTCAACACAAGGAAAGATGTAAAAAAACAGAAATTCTCCATTCTCAGCCACCACCTTGCAAGGATTTAAACAACAGCTGTCTGATTACATACCTGTAGTGCCAGAAATCGTGCTTTCAACCAATACACTCGAACCACAAATTCCAGCCAACTTTCCTCAAATAGGTCCCGCTGGGAAGATGCAAATGAAAGCTGCAGCAGATCACCCAAGAAATGGCTGCCTGGGAAATCAGGGCCAAACTTGCCATTCATCGAGCTGGCAGCTGGACGAGGAGATACTGAAACATTTATTTTACATTTTAGAGTAAGATATCACAAGTTATATCAGAGAACACAAGCACATCAAGGATACATATTTTAAAAGGTTAACTTTTAAAAAGTTAACATTAAGCACAGTTAACTTCAAGATGCACACTTGAAAGCCAAGTTAGTGCTCCTACAGAAAGAAACCCGCTTTTCATCTACAAGCAGAGAGCATAAACAAATATGAATACAAAACTGCCTACAAGGCTGCCTTCTGAGGATCCACAGCAATCTACCCAGGTCAGCTGCTTCACTTCAGCATTTTGCAGCAAGGTCTCTGAAACTTTCTCTTAAATGTCAGAAACTGAACCTGGAAATTTCTGCATGAAAAACCATGTGATCTACTACCAAGATCCAGATCAGATACATGCTGCCTGTAGGGAACAAAATCTCCCTTGCAGGGCATTTCCATCACGCACAGACATGGTGCAGCTCCTTGGAATATTTGCTAAATGTCAGCTGTCATTCACCCATTGAGCTCTTTCCTTTGGTCAGCAACCACTGATCAAGTTGTAGCTCCATGCAGGATAGACTCATCAGCATCATATCCTAAAGCAAAGACAAAAGGATTGCAGAGAGGGGTTTCAGAAAGGCTGATGAAGGGAGAGGGCTCTTCTGTTTACCCTTTCTGTGATTTGTATTTCAGTTTAAAGATCTTTCTAATGAGAAGAAATCATGCTCTCTACAATATTCATTAAGGATCAGAAGCAGATCTGACTAGCCAAGAAGAAAATGATAAATATAGAGTCGGCAGCGGCCACTATCATACTAAACGGAAGTTGTGGTATCCCACTTACATACCAGGACATTTAAAAAAAGCCTTTTCCTGAAGTAAGATGGAAAGGGTGCATCCCTTCAGTAGCTTGCTAGCTGTTTTGTTCATCTGTGCTACAATCATAGTAAAATTTCTCACAAAAGTCAAATGAACTTCTAGAGTTAGAAGGTCTAGACCAGTGATGGCGAACCTATGGCACACATGCCACAGCGGGCACACAGAGCCAAGTCGTCCCAGTATCACCTGCGCAGCCATGCACATATTTGGAAAGAGTAATGGCGCCAGGCAACGACATCACTCATTAGCCGCAACTTGCCATAAGAGGTGGCGTCGAACAGATGGCCAGAGGCCGGCGCAACTGCTGCGGCGGGTGTGCCAGAAACGGAGCGGGCAAGCAGCAAGTGGCCTGCAGCATGTGAGCAGCTGCCCAAGCCACCCTCCTAGCATGGTGGCAGGACCCTGCTGACTCGGTGGCCACAGGCGCAGCCAGGCAGCCGCCTGCCCACACATCCGCCCCTGGGTCAGGCTCCTGTGCTGGTGGCCGCAGGAGGGGGAAGCTGGGCAAAGGGAGTGAGTGACAGGGTTGAGCAACAGAGCAGCAGCAGCAGCTGGAGCGAGGAGGAGGAGAGAGGGGCGCCTGGATCGATATGGCGCTTCCTGGGGAGGGAGGCCAAAACAAGGAAAAGTGGAGGCTGGAACTGCTGCCAAGTGAGAGGAGTGGGCGTGTGGCGGGGACCCCCCTCTCCACCCGACCCCACTCACCAAAGCTTGGCAGCACTGTGGGGGCGCCTTGAGAAAGATCTCAACAGAAGCATGGAAGGGATCAGCAATAGCCTCTCCTCACCTTTAGTTCAGGTCTCTCTCCCCTCCATTCCGACCCTCTGGTAAACTTTCAAGTGCTGCCGAAGCTCCTGCAGTATTCCCAGTGGCTGGTCTGGAGGTGAGGAAGGAGGAAGGGAAGGAGTGTGTATGCCTGGGCTCAAGCAAGCCCTGACTTGGGGGCACTGAATATGAACATGGCTCCTTCTCTCTGTTATTGTGTTTTTCTTTTAAGACAAAAGATGTTAATGTATGAGTTGTTTTTTTCCTAAACTAAAATCTCAGTATTCAGGTTTTATTGCATTGTTGACACTTTGTGATAAATAAGTGGGTTCTGAGTTGCAGTTTGAGCACTCAGTCTCTAAAAGGTTTGCCATCACTGGTCTAGACCAATATCCAACAGGGAAAGGTCCTCAGATGATATAAGCGTCAACTGATCCAAAGGGAGGCCTGATATTGCCACTTCTTTTTGCTCACGCTCATACCCCTAATACATGGCAAATATATCTTGCAAGAAACCCCTGGTTCAATTCTTGGCATCAGGCAGGACTGAAAAACACTCCTGAATCTTGCACAAATAGGCTGTCAGTAGCCTATACTGAGCTGGGTGGACTAGCTGGCCCAGAAAATCCTACGATAGTTTCATCTGGTCTATGAGACTTGCAAGGCAGTTCCTGCCTTCACACTGGTGTGACCAAAAAGAAGGGGAATCTTCTTTTAATACCTCCAAAAAGCTGCCTAAACAGCTAGGAGTGCACAACTCAATACTGCTAAGAAGTGGTCTGCCATCAAGATCTGGCAGCAAAACAGCCTCTCCTTTTTGCATTCCCCCATTTTGGTGGGATGTCCCATGGGTGAAAACAGCCTCCTAGAGTAGCCCACCCTGCTTTTAAGAGTATGACAATTCTCTTCATTTTCAACCCTACCCTCACCCTTCCTTAGTTTCTAGGAACTTACATTGTTTAAAGCTGCATATAACAAAATGTGGCAAGACAAAAACTACATACTCACATTCATTCAAGCATAGCAGCACTGTAACTGTTTTACCAGAGATGCTTCCTAACATGAACTCATTCATACTTGGTTGCACGCAGAGAGATTACTTCAGAAGTGAGAGAATCAGTTGGGATGGGAATCTCTGTTCCTCAACTCCTGAAGTAAACACCAACCAGTTTCCATAAACTTCAGTGAACAGTGAGAGGTTTATATTAACCTGTATGCTTTAAAGGATCAGAGACCAGCCTTCACTGCACCAAGTCAAACCTCCATCCAATCTGACATAACTTAAGGGCAACTCAAATTCTGTGTATCTTTGCACAAAGGAACTCTCACATACTTCAGATGCATAAGTGAGGTCATAGCCAAAAGCATTTCCTTACTCTGATATGCTGGTTGTGACAGTCTCTTAACAGAGGGTTAGGGAGGCTACTGCTGTGTTTTCTCCAGCTGTTGTAGATATTCAGGACAACCTCAGACAAGCCCGCTGGCCATTTCACTAGGAATTTCTCGCTGATGACTTTCAGGTACCTCATCATCAGTTCAAGGATGCCCCCATTGTTCAAATTAGCCAAGAGGAACTTATGAACATCCTGCTTCTCTGGAAGAAAAGTCAGCACAACATCCATGAGCATCACCATAGCTCTTGATCTCTCACAGAACAAGCATGCATTCTGTGACATCACTGCCAGAAGATTCAGGACCACAAGCCATACTGTGGAAAAGTGTTGAAGAAACCTCCATGTGGTGCAGCAATTCACCATCTATCTGCTGCTATTGCCTGAAATCCTGCCTATTCCTGTTTCACGTATAATTCAGGGAAGGAGGTTCAACTGTGCCAACAGTGTGTACTTCAATTTGTGCAGAAGTCCTATGAGAGTCCACAGGATTTTTTGGTTCTGGCAAGCAGAATATTTCTTCTTCTTTCTTTTCTTTTGTTAGTTTGGCTGTTTTTAGAATGTACCAAATACAACGACCCACTCTTGGAGATACACCTTAAAGTGGTGAGAGGTGTTAAGACTGTCAGAGAAGCTGAGAGCAATGCCACCAAGAGGCCACACTCTCTCAGTAGCCTGGTCTCCTAGCTGGGAAAGCAGAGGCACCTGAAGAAGCATCCACCCTTTTAATCAGCAGAAGAGAATGGGTATCTCTAATGGTGAAGAGGGAGGAGAAACACTTGAAGGGCAGCTACTGGGCAGATGACACTGGCAGAAGATCTTTCAACAGATCAACATGCTCTTTCAAAAACCATAGTAAAGCTGAAGAAGAACAGTAACTCAACTACCTGTGAACAACTATGGACTGAAACTGGAGACTTTATTAGGGGAAAAAATCCTGTAGCAGAAAGAAAGAAAGAAAGAAAGAAAGAAAGAAAGAAAGAAAGAAAGAAAGGAAGGAAGGACGGACGGACGGAAACGCCTAGATGGATGACAAAAAAAAAACCACTCGCAATTGCTATGGGCAGGTGTGAAGCAAAGCAAATAGTGACAGAAATAGGATCTGAATCCTGAATGCAATTTCTCAATTACTATAATGTAGAGACAAAAGGAGCCATTACAATGGGAAGTATGAAGAAATAGAGGGGTGACAGCAAAAGAGGAAAAATTAGAGACCTTTACCAGACAATCTGAGAAATCAAAGGAAAATTCAAACCTAGATTAAGAATGCTGAAAGACATACTATCTGACCAGAAGAAAATAAAGAGAAGGTGGAAAGAATATGCAGAAGAGGTGAAAATATGACAGATTCCTTTGAAGCAGAATCCCATGAGAAAGAATCTGAAATATTAGAAAGTGAAGTGAAAGCTTCTCTGAAAGCACTTGGAAAGCATAGAGCACTCACAGTAGGCAGGGTACAAACAGAATTATTCCAAGCTCCAGAGATGGAAATGGTATGAATCCCAACAAAAGTATGCCAACAAATATTTGTTCGTTTCTATACTGCCAACAGCTGAAGCTCTCCGTGCAATTCATAGCCATTTCTCGAGGGTGGGGACCCATTAAGATTGGTCACCCCTGGAGGCTGATGGATCTGGATGGATTCTAGAAAGCTCTGGGGGATTTTCCAAGAGGCATGGCAGGTATGCCTGTCAAAGCTCAAGTCGCTCTGTGAAACACAGAGATGACCCATGCAGTTGACACAACTACCTCCAAGTGCTGTCTCTCTCCTCACAGAGCCCAACTGGTTCCTTGGAATATGCTGGAGCTAAGGGTGATGACACAAGAGGGAAGCCAGCTATCGCTCAGATGGAGCAGAACCCAAAAGGAATCTGACCGAGCACAGCTCATTACTGAGCCTCTTCCATGGCAGTAAAGGTGGCAAGGAAGCGCTTTATTGCCACCAGCACTGCATCCTCATAGTGCTGCCCAGCAGAGCTTTTTTGGGTGGTTTGGGGCCTTTTACATCCTAGCTCAAAGGAAGATCTGATTGAACCCACTGTGAGGACTTTGCATGGCACGCTGAGGATAAAATCACTTGGATCCATAGTGACTTGGATACCACAGTTACCCCGGTTCCATCGGCAGAGGTGTCCAGAGCACTATCTGGTTCTATTCTACTGAGCAAACTTCAGCTATTGTGGCCTGATGTTGTGGACAGGGTGCTTGTCACTGTCCAGTCTATGACCTGCTTACACGATCCTTGCTCATCCTGGCTGACTGAAAAATCAAAAGAGGCCCGTGTGACGGGGTCCAGGAGGCTGTTAACACCTCCTTAAGAGAGGGAGTTGTGCCTGTTGCTTTAAAAATGGCTGAAATCACACCACTCCTGAAAAAACCTAGCCTGGACCTAAATGATGTAAATAACTGCAGGCCTATAGCCAATATCCCCTACTTGGGCAAGGCCATTTAGTCAGCTGTGGCTAGTCAGCACCAAGCTCTCCTGGAGGAAATGGATTATCTAGTTTCCTTTTTATTAATGTTTCAAATATAGAATTAAAAGAAAAGCATAAAATCAAAAAAACATACAACATTAAAAATATAATTAAAATAAATCACAAAAACACTGTGCATGCCACCACTAGGATGGAGAACATACATAGGGTTGCTGTAAATTAGAAAGGATGTGTTGGCACAAAACAATATATATGCTTGGATTGACCCTGATAGATTTGAAAAATTCTGCCCAGAACCCAGCTTTTGGAACCTTCCCACTGTTTTCCTTCTTTCTACAAAAAGGTTCACGAATTTGTCTTCCTCAGTGCCCTCTTTTCATGCAGTGCCCTCTTTTCATGCAGTGGTTTCATGCAGAGACATTAACAAGCATTGGCTATGAATCCAACAGTCCAGAGAGTTACATATTTGAACAGTAAGGTTAAACAATTAATTGAAACGCAAAGCAAAAAAAACATAATGAGTCAGAAGGGGCCTCCCAGGCCATCTAGTCTGACCCGCAGTCCCAGCTAGTTCCACTCATAAAATATCCAACATGTGTTTGTCCAATCTTTCCTTGAACACCCTCACTGATGGGGCCTTCACCACCTCCACTGGAAGCCCATTCCACATCCATAGGGTTCTAACCATCAAGAAGTACTTCCTTACATCTAACTTGAAACCTGGTCCTTTTAGCTTTGTCCCATTGGATAGCATCCTTTACTCCACCACAGGGGATAACAGGTCAAAAGCCTCTACCATGTGATACCCCTTCACATACCTGTATGTTGCTGCAAGATTCCCCCCTCTGAGTGTTCTCATCTCCAGACTGAAAAGACCCAGCTCCCTCAGTCTCATCTCATATGGCATCCCACCTTCCACCCCCCAGAATCTGGCTACCATCCCTGTGACCCTGCACTGAATTGATTCTAGCCTATGTCCCTCTTGTAATGTAGAACCCAGAATTAGACAGAGCACTCCAGTTGTTGGTGTACCAGAGACTAATAGAATGGCATCAACACCTCTCTTGATCTGGAAGTTGTACCTCTGGCTATACATCCAAGGGTGGCATTTGCCTTCTTAACTGCCCCTGCTCGCTGCTGCTATCAACAAGTACACTGTGATCCCTTTCACAAGTGCTGCTCTCCAGCCATTTGTCCCCCATCCTGTATTATGGCACCTTTTCCTGATTTCCAAGTGCAAGACTTTGTACTTATCTGTTGTCCCCTGCCCACTTCCAAAAGCTAATAAAGGTAATCAATACCATGCTGAGAGATGTAGGTCTGATTAATTTGTTTATTTCTGAATATAATCAGTTATTGACAATTATAGTGGAGCTATGGAGTAAGATGATGTTTTGTTCTGAACAGACAGACACTCAAGACAGTATCTACAGCAGAGATCTCAGTAAGCAGGGAAAGGGGTATTGAAAGAATCCATTAGCTCAAGAGATATTCCTGATGTCAAGGAAGGCATGATTGTTAGAGTCAGTGCAGTGTAGGGCTGCAAGGTTGGTGGCCGATTTGCAGGGGATGCTGTATGAGACAAGACTGAGGGAACTGGGTCTCTTCAGCCTGGAGAAGAGGAGACTCAGAGGGGATCTGTTGGCGACATACAGGTTGGGCAGGGGATGTCACACAGAGGTGGGTAGAGATCTGTTCTCCCCTGCAGAGGAAGGCAGGATGCGCTCCAGGGAACCAAGGTTCCATTTGGATGCCAGGAAGCACTTCCTGACAGTCAGGACCCTGAGGGTGTGGAATGGGCTTCCACGGGAGGTCGTTGGGGCCCCATCAGAGAGGGTGTTCAAAGATAGGTTGGACATGCACATGGTGGGCATGTCGTGAGCGGAGCCAGCTGAAGCTGAGGGTCAGACTAGATAGCCCGGGAGACTCCTTCTGACTCACTCTGTTCCTGTGTTTCTATGATTTTTACACCAAGGCTTACTGCACAAGATGATTCCCTGCCAAGAATATCTGCTTGGAGTTCTTACTCTGCATGACAAAGGTGATAATTGCTGGCAGCTGAGGAAATAGAGGAGAGTGGGGCCAACTGGCATCACCAGCAAGGAGAAGGGTCTTAAAAGCCTGACTTTGGATCCTGCAGGATCTGAATTTTGTGAAAGCTATATCCCAGTTCCCTTTCCCTCCTGCTTTATACACTTACCTTTAAACCAACTTGGGTGTCTAAACCATGCAGGGTGGTTTGAGGTGTTAGCAGGTTTAATTCTGCAATAAGAGTCAGAGAGAGATTTCTCTGACATTCTGTTAAAGTATCTACTCAAAGTACTATAAATACTGATATTAGTAGAACCAGAGAAACCAGAATATACCATAAGATCCATATGAAAAAAGTAAACAAAGATAAAATAGGGTTTTTGAGGAGGAGTTTTGGGATATACCAGAGCACTGTCCGGTGGATTAGGGCACGGTTGACTGACCAAAAGCAGAAGGTAACCATTAGTGGGGAATCATCGGGATGGCGGACAGTGACAAGCGGGGTCCCCCAGGGCTCTGTCCTGGGGCCGATCCTGTTTAGTCTTTTCATTAACGACATGGAAGAAGGGGTGAACAGTCTGCTGATCAAATTCGCAGACCACACTAAAACTGGAGCAGTGGCCACAACTGAGGAGCAGATACTCCAGATCCAAAAGGATCTGGACAGACTATGGAAATAGGCAGGAGACAACAGGATGGCATTCAATGTGGATAAGTGCAAGGTCTTGCACTTGGGGCATAGGAATAGGTGTCATAAGTACAGGTTAGGTGACAAGTGGCTGGAGAGCAGCACTTGTGAAAGGGACCTCGGGGTGCTGGTTGACTGCAGGCTAAACATGAGTCAGCAGTGTGACGTGGTGGTCAAGAGGGCGAACGCCACCCTTGGCTGCATAGCCAGAAGTGTGGCTTTTAGATCAAGAGAGGTATAACTACCACTCTATATGACTCTGGTGCGCCCGCAACTGGAGTATTGTGCTCAGTTTTGGGCCCCTCATTACAGAAAGGATATAGCCAGGTTAGAGTCAGTGCAGCAGAGGGCCACAAGGTTGGTGGCCGGTTTGCTGGGGATGGGGTATGAGGCGAGACTGAGGGAACTCGGTCTCTTCAGTCTGGCGAAGAGACTCAGAGGGGATCTGTTGGCGACATACAGGAATGTGAGGGGATGTCACATGGAGATGGGTAGAGACCTGTTCTCCCCTGCAGAGGAAGGCAGGACACACTCCAACAGAGCAAAGCTCAGGGAGCCAAGGTTCCATTTGGATGCCAGGAAGCACTTCCTGACAGTCAGGACCCCGAGGGTGTGGAATGGGCTTCCACGAGAGGTCGTTGAGGGCCCATTGGTGCGGGTGTTCAAGGCCAGGCTGGACGTGCACATGGTGGGCATGTCGTGAGCGGAGCCGGCTGGTGCCGGAGGTCAGACTAGATGGCCCGGGAGGTCCTTTCTGAATCACTCTGTTTCTATGTTTCTATTATTTTTCTTTTGTGTTCTCCCCAAAGAAGGTTTGGGGGAGATATACCTGGGGGGCTGGATAAGCTGAGGTTATGGGGACACAGATTGGAGTCACTCCCATACAAGTTGAGGATCTCCTCAGGGTCCTGGATGTTACAAAGGCACCAGGCTCTGGCAGCCTACACCCAAGGGTATTTCGGGAATTGGCAGGGGTGCGTTTTGGCCTTTATTTTTGAGGCCTTGTGGAAAATGGAGAAGTTCCAAAGGAGAAGAGGGTGGCATCAGTGGTTCCAATCTTCAAAAAGGGTAGTAGAGGGGATAAAGGGGAATTACAGACCAGTTAGCCTTACATCCATTCTAGGAAAAACAATGAAATGAGTCATAATAGAGAAAGCTCTAGAAAGCCTAGATAGGAAAGGGAGGCTGGCAGCCATGAAGCATGGATTCTGTAAAAACAGATCCTGCCAGACAACCTTGTGGAATTCTAAGATAAGGTCTCAAGGTGGCTAGATGGAGGGGATGTGGTGGATGTGGCTTACCTGGATTTCAGCAAGGCCTTTGACAAAGTGCTGCATGAGATCCTAGTCAAGAAATTGTTCCGATTTGGAATGGATCAATGCACTGTGTTATAGATTAGGGCACGGTTGATGGACCACAAGCAGAGGGTGACTATCAGTGGGAAATCATCAGGATGGCAGCCAGTGACTAGCAGAGTTCCCCAGGGCTCAGTTCTGGGACTGATTCTTTTCAACCTCTATCAGTGACCTGGTCTGTTGACTAAATTCATTGATGATACCACAATGAATGTGTATGAAGGCCACAACTGAGGAGTAGGTAAACAGGCTGTGGAAGTGGTTGGGGGACAATCGGATGGCATTCAATGTGGATAAGTGCAAGTGAGTGGGATGATGTAATCTGGAGTCCTGCAACTGCAGGGGGGTTGGACCTGATTGGCTTCATGGCCCCTTCCAACTCTACTATTCTATGATTCTAAGGTCCTGAACATGGGACACAGAAATAGGTGTCACAGGTACAGGATGGGGGATAAGTGGCTAGAGAGCAGCACTTGTGAAAGGGATTTCGGGAAAGTCTGAGGGTAAACCATCAAAAGACTAAGATAATTAGTGTTTTCTGGGGGATGTGAAAGGCATTCATTGCTCCACAAATGATAAGTGTATTGAGCAAGTGAATAGGTATGACTATTTAGTTATGAATTTTCAAGCATTTATAAGACAAAGAGAACTCTGTATCAGTTGCCGTGGTGTTCTCTCTCTTGCGCTCTCTGTCTCTCTCTCTCTCTCTTTTTTACAGAAGGAGGAAGGCATGTACACTCACTGTATGGTATCCAACTGTGTCTTATGGAAACCAATCAGGAGATGGAACGTTATTGGTCTAAATTCTTGAGAAACATTCTATGTCTCCCTGATGTTAAAGAACACAGCACAGAAATTGGAAGGCAGAGTCCCTTCTATAGATACTTTTTGTGCAGATACATGCATTTAATTTTAAGGTCCATTTACACAGAAGTATACTACTCTCAAGTACCTGGCATTGATACTGACACACCTGTCTCTGGCTTTATCATTTAATTTCTTCAATCAATCAAACTGGATTGACACTAATCCAGTTAAAACAGTAACATTTCATAGAGATGAGATGATAAATCTAAAACAGATTACTGGATGTTGACTTTAAGATAGCAGCATTGCAGCATGGATACTTTCTGCACTGAATAGAGAAATTGAGCTGACCAAGCTAATAGTAAGGAAATATTGATACTCTGATAGAGATTGAGAAGCTGAGAAGCCTGTGAAAGTTCCTACCTGACTCCATGCCTGTAGTCAAGTCAAATGACATTCTATGTGAACCAATGTGCTGGAAATTCTCTTCCTTGGCCTCAGATTGGACTTCATAGCTGCTGAAAGGACCATCATCTTCTTCTGGATCAAGCTTCCTTAGACTTAAAGCAGAACAAAGAGCAAAGCATTAATATTTTGGCCATGCTGAATCCTCATGAAGCAGAACATCCATGGCAATCTACAGTCAATCTCTGAGAAACCTATAATTCTCAGAAGCTAGATTTACTTTAAGCATACATAAATCAAAGTGGAGTAAAATGCAAATAAACTGAGGTTGCTTACCTGTAACTGACACTCATCTGTGCATTCACACATATGGGCTCTGCACCTGTGTAGGGCCTGTTGTTGAGAAGATTTTCCCAGTCATGCTCATTTTGGTGGGAGCCCTGTTCCTCCTTACCCTTAGTATATAAAGGCAGGTCACTCGTCATTTTCCCCAGTTTCCCTCATGAAACTTATGTTTTGGCCTCAGAATTAGGTGGAAGAGCTGGTAACAGCCTGACCAGCACCATCTTGGTAACAGGTCTGAAAGGAAGAAGGTATATGAACTGAAAGCTGTTGATACTGACGTGGAGCCAGTGGGTGGGTTGTGTGAATGCACAGATGACCACTTGAAGAATGACAGTTACAGGTAAGCAGCTCCACTTTCTTCTTCATGGTCTTAAGCATCACACATATGGGCAACTAAAGAGCTAGTGAACTATGTCACTGCTCTCTAGAGGTCCTGCAATGGAAAGCCAGCTGCACATCACCCTGGTAGAATGTGCCCTTTGTTGTTCAGGAAAGTGCAGTCCAGCCAGTTGGTAGGCAAAGTTAATAGTCTCAACAATCCACCATTCACTGTATCCTACAAATTGTCTCTGGGACAAGCAGAAGGACTAGGTACAGGGCCAATAGAATGCCAATGCCCTGTGTGGGAAGCGCAATCCAGGGTCAGATGCAGCCAGGAGGCTGCTGCCCAAGGGGTGACTGTTGAGACATGGCCCTCTATCTCCACTAGGTGAAGAGGAAGGCAGGTTATTGTTGTTGAGAACTCCTTACTAAGGGATACAGAAGCAACAGTGTACTGGCCAGATCTTGAGGCGAGGGAAGTCTGCTGGGCTTATGCATCTGGAGCGTGATAGATGGATGGGCATGGACAAGAAACTCTAGGGACTGAAGATTCAGATGGCCTTTTCTTCACTCTTGCTGGTCCACAGACATAGGCTGACCAGGGAGAGAAGGGTTGCAGAGACAAATAACTGGCTGAGGGCATGGTGTTGGAGGGAATGGTCTGGGTTTCTTGACGACAGCAACTGGGTCCTTGCCGATGGACTTCTGGCGAGGGGTGGGGGAAAGGACCATCAGGAATGCTCTAGCAAGCTGCATCTGGAGAGCTTTATAAGAATCGGGCGGGAGAGGAGAGACCAGCATCCCCAGAAACCAGTCAAAATCAGTCAGGTGAAGGAACAAGATCAAGGTCTCAGGGGCTGGCATGGCTACTGCACTGAGGGTTCCTGCTGTGCCAGGGAGGAAGGAGGTGGCTGGGGGAACTGGGGAAGGGGGTTCACAGGGAAGAACAGAGTGGTATATACATCAATGCTTGGAGCATGGGAATCAAGCAGGAAGAACTTGAGGCTCTCCTGGGAATAGGCAGGTTTCCCAGGTTTCTGGGGATACGAGAAACATGATGGGATGATAAGCGGAACTGGAATGACAACATATAGGGGTATGCTGTGTTAAGGAAAGGAGGTGGTGTAGCACTATACGTTAAGGAAAGGATAGACTGCAGAGAGACAGGGGGCAAGGTAGAAGGGGATTGGGTAGAGGTGATCAGGGTAAGATTGACAAGTCTAGTCATGGCCCGGAACCTGACACTGGGGATATATTGTCACCTACCGGGTCAAACTGAGACCCTGGACAATGCTCTAATAGATCAGATTGGAAGAATATTCCAGCAGAGGGACAGGGTTATAATGAGAAATTTCAACCTCCGTGATGGTTGGGAGATGCACCTGGGGGCAACCAAAGGGAAATACTTCCTGGACTTGGAGGACTGGAGGGTAGCAAGAGTGGTCCCAATCTTCAAAGAGGTAGCATGTCCAATTCTGAAATAGTGTGTCCAATTTCTGGGCTCCACATCATAAGAGAGACAAAGCTATCATAGAATAGTAGAGTTGGAAGAGGCCAAGAAGCTCCCTCTGCTGGCTAAATGTCAAATTGCAGCTACTGATTCATATTATTATTATTATAACATATATTGCTTGAAAGTTCAATTGTAATTGTGGTCTGCAAATAAGAGCACTAAATTCAAGAGTTCTCTAAGTTGGAAATAATAAGTGTAGACTGTATGCCTAAATATAGTAAAAGTGCAGACAACATTAGGCAGGAGCCGAAGACAGTCTGGCAAAGACCCAGAGTAAAGCAAGACTCTTCTTACAAACCTCAGATTTGTGCTTAAAAAGAGTAGAGAGGAATGGAAAAAAGAAAACATTACCGGAAAAATCACCAGAAAAATCAACAACTCCATCAACACAATTGGACAATTCTGTTATGTTTCTACAAGAAGTAAGAGAAATAAAGACAAAAAATGGATTCAGGATTTGATGGTGTGAAAGAAGAGGTGCAGAGTGACCTGAAGAAGTTGGATATTAAAATTAATAATATGGATGGAAGAACTAGCTAAACAAAATCAAGAGAATCTCCAAATAATTACAGACATGAAAGCTCAGGTGAGAGAACAAGATAAAGAGTTAAAAAAACAGATGACCATGATAGACCAGGTCTCTAAAAGCATGATTGAGATCCAAGATAGACAACAAAAATCGAATTTGCACCTTAAAGGATATTCAGAGGATGCAAAAGAGAATCAAAGTCAGTGCTAAAGGGCTGCTTGCATTAAAGAGCAAACAGCAAATCCCGTAAGTCTGTCAGCAGTAAAAGCAAATAAATCTACCCACATATCATTAAACGTTTGGTTTTCTTCAGAAACTTTTCTTCAGATTTATCCATGGTTGGAGGGGGGGAAAGCTCAGTAAAGCCAGTCGCAGATATGGGGGTGTTTAGTGACTGATTAGCAGATAAACAGTCAAGTGATGTGAATTGTGACAGGTCCCAAGCACAGCTTTTAACATTCAGATGAAGGAGATTACATTGGGACAAAGAGAATCTTTTCAGTTTCGTGTAACGTGAGAGCTGCAGGAAGCTTGTTTAGCAGAGGAATGTAGCAATTTACTTAACTAGCTAGCGCTGTGTTCCTGAGTGGAGCTTCAAGCAGAACAGTGGCTGGGCCGGTGAGTGTTTTGAGCGACAGAGCCACAGCAGAGGAGTTCAAGAGCCACGTGCGGCTCCGGAGCCGTGGGTTGCCAACCCCTGATCTGACTCATCAAAGTTAGACATAAAATATAAGACTTAAGTAGATTTATTAATGAAAACAGATTAAGAAAAGTTTGGAGAGAGGTAAATGGGAACCAGAAAAGATATACATTTTATTCAATAGACACAAAAAATTCACAAAAATATATAACATACTTGTAATATATATTTTTATTTTCCTGGTCTCCAAGATCATCGCAGATGGGGACTGCAGCCAAGAAATTAAAAGACGCTTGCTCCTGGGGAGGAAAGCTATGGCAAATCTAGACAGCATACTAAAAAGCAGAGACATCACCCTGCTGACAAAAGTGCATATAGTCAAGGCTATGGTTTTCCCTGTTGCAATTTATGGCTTTGAAAGTTGGACCATAAGGAAGGCTGAGCGCCAAAGAATTGAGGCCTTTGAATTGTGGTGCTGGAGAAGACTCCTGCAAGTCCCTTGGACTGCAAGGAGATCGAACCAGTCAGTCATAGAGGAGATCAACCCTGACTGTTCCGAGAGATGGTGGAGGACAGGAAAGCCTGGAGGAATGTTGTCCATGGGGTCGCAATGGGTCAGACACGACTTCGCAACTAACAACAACAATCAGTAATCAGTCGGATAGTTTGGTTTGAAACAAATACCATGAAGGATTAGAGAAGGACAAAAGAAGTATTTATTCCTTACTATGAAGCTGACTAAGAAAGAGATCATGTTTAGGTGGCTAATGCCAGAAGGAATATTTTTCACCTTGAACTCTACAAGATACAAACTGGACTCAATCTTCAAGGCACAAGAGTTTTATGAAAAATTTACATTTGAAGAGGAAGAATCGGGTGCTCCAAAAGAAGGAGGGAATGGTGCTGAACGAACAGCATACCACTCTGAAGGAGAAACAGTGAATACAGACTTACAACAGGAGGGACAGACACTGGAACTAAAGGAAAAGAAAAAAGGTAGAAGTGTAAAGGCAAAGCATAAGTAGATAAATATATATTATTTAAATATGGCTTTTAAAAGGGAAGGACGAATTGAACTGCTTTGATAGTTCAACATCCAATCCGGTAAACCAAAACCCCCATTCTTTTTGGTTTCCTGAAGCATTTTCAGTTTAATCCTTGCTTTCTTTTTTCTCCAAATAAATCTCAAAATTTGAAAATTTAAATTCTCAAAAAAAATTTATCAATTTTTACAGGAATCATTTGGAACAAAAACAAAAGTTTTGGTAGTATATTCATTTTAACCAGTGCAATTCTTCCCATCAAAGACAGTTATAAATTTGTCCATCTTTCTACATCACCTTTAATAACTTTCAATAATTTATCATAATTGTCTTCTTTCAAAGTTGTGCATTTAGCTGTAAGATAGATTCCCAAGTATTTAACCTTTTTGACAATCTGCAAGTCCACTTGTTCTTGCAGTCTTTTTTTCTGATCTTGCATAAGATTTTTAACTAAAACTTTCATTTTTTCCTTATTTATTTTCATCCCTGTAATCTCACATTCTTCAATCCGTTGTAAAAGTTTAGGGATTGTTACAAAAGGTTCCTCTATTATAAAGACCAAATCATCTGCGAATGCTTGCAATTTATACTTTCCATCCCTAATTTTAGTACCTTTAATGTCCTCGTCATCCCTAATATTTCTATTCAAGACCTCTAAAGTCAGGATGAACAGCAGGGGTGACAGCGGGCATCCTTGCCTTGTACCCTTTTGTATCTCTATAGCCCTTGTACGTTCTCCATTAATTAAAATCCTGGCCAATTGT